GGAAAAATACCGTTCGGATACCATTACCAAGAAAGAGAAATCAATAAATTTCTTAATACTAAATATTAGAAAGAAGCATAAATGATGTAAAAGAAGAATATTTATCCATTTTTATGTACGTTTATTATAAAGTTAATTATACAAAGTGTGTTCTATCTGTGATATGACTTCAGGTTCGTTATTGTATGTTTCTTTCTAATGTTCAGTATTAACAACTTTATTATGATTTCTCTTTCTTGGTGATGGTATCCGAATGGTGCTTTTCTAGTATGTTTACATTGATGTTCTCTAAAATATTTTAATATAATACATTTTATTATTGAAAGTTAATATATGCAATAGAAGTGAATATGTATTAATTCCAATGTCAAAATCTATTACATATATATAATCAAATACGTTAACAAACGTAATAAGTGATATTCTTCGCTATCTTATTTTTCACCTATTTTAATTTATCATTATTACTTTAACATCACATCGTTAAATTTTAATATATGTCTTTCAACATATTATTAAGATCCATAAGATGCTATAAGCATCAAAATTGTTAAATTGCTTGTCAATTTAACTATAATGTGACATTACTGCGGCAGTAAGTATGTATGCGTCAGTGCTGAAAAACTATCAGCGTCGCGAATTTTGGAGGGATTACATACGCAGTATGTAAAATTCACACAATTATAATAAACACTGTGATCCAGCTTCGACCGTTATTGGCTTCTTCTTCTTGTTTATTATTGTTTATCAATTGCACGATCTTAAAAGGATTCTAGTATAACGTAATAAGTGTTTTGGTATAATGTCATTACAAAATTGATTAATACCACAATCGTTAGTCACAATATTAATTATTAATTATAATAATAGTTTGTAAACGTATACTTATGAAGATACACGTGATTGAAAACTGGTTAACTCATACACATGAGAGCTCCAAAATCTTGAATCAAATATAGTGTTCTAGGTGAGAGAACAGAATAACAGTTTTTTATATTTCAAAAATGAATCACAAAAGATCAGTATTAATTTCAAAAGAATTCTTATGTACTCCAAAATCTTGAATCAAATATAGTACTCTAGGTGAGAGATCAAAATAACAGTTCTTTATATCTCAAAAATGAATCAGAAAAGATCAGTATTAATTTCATAAAAGAAATCTTATTAAATTGTCTTACCATATTGTCTATTTTAACGTAATACATTTTATTATTGGAAGATAATGAAATGGTAAAAAACCTTGGCATACATAATGAGGTATTCAAGTCAGACGTAAAGTTGGGAACTGTTGGTGTATGTTACTTTAAACTGGCACCTTCAATAATATATGAGTCATTTTTCATGGTATTTCATTATCTTTCAATAATAAAATGTATTACGTTAAAGTAGACAATTTGGCATAAGAATTCTTTTAAAATTAATACTGATCTTTTGTGATTTATTTTTAAAATATAAAAAACTGTTATAGTTTGACCTCTGACCTAGTTCAAGGTTTTGGACTGTAAGTTAACCAGTTTTCAATCACGTATATCTTCATAAGTATACGTTTACAAATTATTATTCCAATTAATAATTAATACTGTAAGAAAGGATTGTTCTGATAATCAATTTCGTAATAACATTATACCAAAAAAATTTATTAACATCGTATTTGATTATAGGTATGTAATACTAACTCGAACATGTACTTGTATATATTCATTTCCATTTCATAATCTTTCAATAATAAAATGTATTACGTTAAAATAGTTTGGTATAAGAATTTTAAAATTAATATTGATATCTTATGGGTTTTTAAAATATAAAAAACCGTTATAGTTTGATCTCTCACCTAGAACACTATATTTGATCCAATATTTTGAAGTGTATGTTAAACATGAAATACTATCTTTATTCTAATTTTTGTTTGAACTTCCGGTTTTGAGTTGTTTATACCAAGTTAAATTCTATCTTTAAAAACCCATGTAAAAAACCATACTATTATTTAAATTCTACTAAATTAAAAAGTAAAACCCATTTGATACTATCTTTATAAACTTACCTTTTTTTTTTAAAAAAAAAAAGGTAAAAAAAGCGCTAAGAGTGGGTGCTGCTGGTCAAAAAACATTTCGGCCAGTTTCACCAACGCCTATTACTTAATCGACTATAAAACTGACTAATCACATTTGCTGTTTAGTAGAACCATCTTTTTTAAAAACCTACGTGATATCCTTATTTACTTAAATTTAATGACATGTACCATTTGTATAAAAGTTTTGATATCAATAGTCGGCGCCAAGTTAAATTCTACCTTATTACTTAATTAATTTTAATGACATTTATCATTTGTATAAAAGATCATATGATATGGATTTTTCCCATAAAATATATCGTTTAATTAACTAATCTTTAAAAATTCTATCTCTAAAGATCTAAGAGGTACCATTCTTACACTCATTTAATTCTAATGACATGTATCATTTGTATGTATATATAAACTTACCTTTTTAAAAAAAAGGTAGAAAAAAGCGCTAAGAGTTGGTGCTGCTGATCAAAAAACCATGTGGGCCAGTTTCACCAACGTCAATTACTTAATCAACTGTGAAACTGACCAATCACATTTGCTATTTAGTAGAACCATCTTTAAAAACCTACGTGATATTACCCTTATTTACTTAATTCTAATGACATGTATCATTTGTATAAAAGATTTGATATCAATAGTCGGCGCCAAGTTAAATTCTAATCTTTAAAAACCTACGTGGTATTATCCTTATTATTTACTTAAATCAATGACATGTATCATTTGTATAAAAGATTTGATATCAATAGTCGGCGCCAAGTTACTCTACCTTATTACTTACTTAATTTTAATGAAATTTATCTTTTGTATACAAGATTTGATATCAACAGTCGGCGCCAAGTTAAATTCTACCAAATTAAAAAGTAAAACACAAGTGGTACCTTTAATCTTTAAGTGAACCCATATAGTACATTTATTTAAATTCTTCTAAATTAAAAAGTAAAACCTATGTGGTTCTATCTTTATCTTCATACAATGAAACCTAAGTATATGCCTTTGTATTCTTATTAAAAGATCTTCCTATTCGAAACCAAGTGACTTAAATTCTTCTTTAAAAAAATTATATCACAATTAATTTAAAAACAAAATGAAAAAAATTTATTTAAATAGAAAAATTTTTTATGTAAAAACACTTCGCGCTGCTAGTTCTCGATCTCGATGTAACATTTTGTATAAAAGAGATTAGAAATTACGAGAGGTAAAGTATGCAGTCTGTATGTATATTCGCGTACAGTATATGCGAGTGAAATACATAAAAAAAGAAAAGTAAGCTGTATATTTATTAATTAAATGTAGCATTTAGAATATGTTTACTATAATTTTTAAATTATCATTACCATTACATATATTTGTATTAATTATTATAGCTTTTAGATAGTTTTCATTGTTTTTCTTATTCGCTCTAGCAGCGCGAAGTGTTTTTACATAAAAAATTTTTCTATTTAAATAAATTTTTTTCATTTTGTTTTTAAATTAATTGTGATATAATTTTTTTAAAGAAGAATTTAAGTCACTTGGTTTCGAATAGGAAGATCTTTTAATAAGAATACAAAGGCATATACTTAGGTTTCATTGTATGAAGATAAAGATAGAACCACATGGGTTTTACTTTTTAATTTAGTAGAATTTAAATAATAGTACTATATGGGTTCACTTAAAGATTAAAGGTACCACTTGTGTTTTACTTTTTAATTTGGTAGAATTTAACTTGGCGCCGACTGTTGATATCAAATCTTGTATACAAATGATAAATTTCATTAAAATTAAGTAAGTAATAAGGTAGAGTAACTTGGCGCCGACTATTGATATCAAATCTTTTATACAAATGATACATGTCATTGATTTAAGTAAATAATAAGGATAATACCACGTAGGTATTTAAAGATTAGAATTTAACTTGGCGCCGACTATTGATATCAAATCTTTTATACAAATGATACATGTCATTAGAATTAAGTAAATAAGGGTAATATCACGTAGGTTTTTAAAGATGGTTCTACTAAATAGCAAATGTGATTGGTCAGTTTCACAGTTGATTAAGTAATTGACGTTGGTGAAACTGGCCAACATGGTTTTTTGATCAGCAGCACCAACTCTTAGCGCTTTTTTCTACTTTTTTTTTAAAAAGGTAAGTTTATATATACATACAAATGATACATGTCGTTAGAATTAAATGAGTGTAAGGATCATGGTACCTCTTAGATCTTTAGAGATAGAATTTTTAAAGACTAGTTAATTAAACGATATATTTTATGGGAAAAATCCATATCATATGATCTTTTATACAAATGATAAATGTCATTAAAATTAAGTAAGTAAGAAGGTAGAATTTAACTTGGCGCCGACTATTGATATCAAAACTTTTATACAAATGATACACGTCATTAAATTTAAGTAAATAAGGATATCACGTAGGTTTTTAAAAAAGATGGTTCTACTAAACAGCAAATGTGATTAGTCAGTTTTACAGTCGATTAAGTAATTGGCGTTGGTGAAACTGGCCGAAATGTTTTTTGACCAGCAGCACCCACTCTTAGCGCTTTTTTTACCTTTTTTTTTTAAAAAAAGGTAAGTTTATAAAGATAGTACCAAATGGGTTTTACTTTTTAATTTAGTAGAATTTAAATAATAGTATGGTTTTTTACATGGGTTCTTAAAGATAGAATTTAACTTGGTATAAACGACTCAAAACCGGAAGTTCAAACAAAAATTAGAATAAAGATAGTATTACATGTTTAACATACACTTCAAAATATTGGATCAAATATAGTATTCTAGGTGAGAGATCAAACTATAACGGTTTTTTATATTTTAAAAACTCATAAGATATCAATATTAATTTTAAAATTCTTATACCAAACTATTTTAACGTAATACATTTTATTATTGAAAGATAATGAAATGGAAATGAATATATACAAGTACATGTTCGAGTTAGTATTACATACGTTATAACTACACGCCGTGCGAAGCGACTCCTGACCATAAGTCTCCGGCGGAGATATTCTTTGGACGCAAGTTTAGAACGCCGTTGGACATCTTTACCCCCACGGAAAAGCCTAAGTCAAATTTGTCTCATCAACAGAGTCAAATGAAGAAGCAATTCGATACGCATCACGGTGCAAAGGCTCGTCATTTCATTCCAGGACAGCAGGTATTGGTCCAACTCTCGGATGGTTGCCGAGTTCCGGGGAAGATAGTCAACATCATTGGTTCTACGATTGCTCGAATCCGCGTTGATAAGGGAATTATCAAGCGGCACTTTAATCAAATCTGGAATCGTACAGTCTCCTCCTCCGAGGAGACGAATTATAGCATTGAGGACCTGCTACCATCGGTACCAAATCCAACAGCGGATCCTCCTCCGTTTCAACTTCCATTCGAGGGGGCTAATTTCTCCAGTAACGTGGTCCCTCCGGCCCAGGCCCAGGAAGAGCCAGTAGTTCGACGCTCCAGTCGTCTAGCAAGAGACGCTCGCCTGAATTATCGGAGTTTGGCTGGCTTCCGCCCCTATGGAAAGCATTCTGCTTAGTGGAAGAGGAGTGTTGGGGCTCTTGGGGCCACACGCACGATGGTCGCCCCTGCATTGACGCCATAGGAAGATGCGCGCACTACGAGAGCGCGGCAGAGTTACGTTATGTTCGTTGTGAGATACAACGCGAGTACGAACACGTTAGACTGTCACCAAGTTTTACGAGATCTAAGGACATTAGAGTCTTACATTCTGTACACTCCTTCTCTGTACTCTCTTACGAGATCGTTCGCATAATAAACCCTTTAACCAAAGGACACAACACTTGTTATTAGCATAATGTTAAATAAGGTTAAAATTATTTTTCATGCGCATTATGCGTATAACAAAACGCAATCGTACATTTATATGTATCAAGAAGACTAGAACCAGGAGAGTAAACTAGCGTGGTGGGGGTAGGTCAAAAAACGTCCGCGGTTATTCATACAATGCGCAGTGGCATTGCACATTATCTGAAAGTTTGCGCATGCGCGCATCGGTTATAACCAAGAATTTCTTGTTCTTAACCTTTGTTTTCCGAGGAACATACTTAAAAAAAAAATCTTAAACCATCTTAAACAGAATGTAAGTTGTAAAAAGAAATTATATTGCACATTAAATGCACATGTCAAACAAGGTTTGTTTGACATGCGCAGTCACGAATTGGAAACGACTATCAGAGCGACAGAAAGGACTAATGAAACGCAAGAGTGGGGAAAGTTATCCGCCGTCACTTTTTGGCCTACCCTCTCTACCGATATTTGACCGCGTTTACTCTCCTGGTTCTAGTCTTCTTGATATATATTTAAATATAAACATTTATATTAAAATATATATGAACATTAGGGTGTCCGTTATTTTGGCGATTTTCGAAATTTGTACGGGACACCCTCCTAACTTTTTAGTAAAAAAATAACAAAAATTTTGGCGCTAATAAAAAGTTCCTACGATGATTCTAAGTGGAGGCTCATCGATGTTGAAAATTAACCCGTAAATCTTATGGGAAAAAACATTTTTTTAGTATTTCTTCGGGCATTTCCACCGCAGTCAGTCTAAAAATCCAGCAAGTGAGATATCTTTTCTTGAATGTTTTCCACGTGAAATGAGCCTAGGCGGAACAAAATCGATCAATTTCCGGCCGAGTTATTCCACTTTGAACTTCAATAATTTTTCACCCAAAAAATGAGAAGAGCCTAAAATCTCTCAATGAAATTACAGTAGCTCTGTTAGAATGCATTTTGAAATCATGGACCATTGAATTTCACATTCCTTATAGTTTTGCGATTAAAATGACCACCTTACAAGATAAAAACGATAATTTGTAGCCCGTTAAACTGATGAGTTAGTACTGATCCCGTTAGATCAGTAATGCTCCGTGCGATGATCGGAAGATAAATGATCTGCGTAGGCCTTTCCGATATCTTATATCCCGGTGGTACTTGCGGTGAAAATTCGTGTATCGTGTGCGCGCTGTTACCGTTGCTGTGCGCGCCCGCTGTCATGTTGCACTCTACGCGGATGACGTTCACGGTCATTATGTTGACCGACACGTCCGACTGGAGCCATTTTCGCGGTCGTAATATACGATCATCGCACGGAGCATTACTGATCTAACGATACGCATTGTTGATCAGAACGGGCGGTTGATCGATTTTCGCGGAGAGGAGATTACCGTCAGATTGCACGTACGACGGCGACAGCGATAACGCGTGCGTGCGTGCGTGAGATGCTCGTGTTGAACCAGCGGATAGATAACATATCCTTTACAAAGCCTGTGACGTCATCGCTCGACAGTACTCGCTCATCCGGACGCATCGAAAAGAAAAAGAACAAGAGGCTCAGTGCATCGAACGTTGAGTTTTTAAAATCTCTGGGATTTGCAGTGCGCAACTTTTGAGAAAGATGACCGACATTCTAAACGTCAAGGACGAGCCTGTCTTCGACGATCGCATCGTCAAGATCGAGACTCACACGTACAACCCGTTTACCAACACGACGTTCGGATACAGTGACGAGATACGAATACCAATACAACAACAAGATCTATACAAGCTGCCGTACGAAAGTTTTTTGTACGTCGAAGGAAAATTGACAAAGACCAATGTGGTACCGAACGCCGACGTGGCACTGGGAAATAATTGCGTCGCTTTCATGTTCGATGAGATTCGATGAGATTCAAAAAACTGAAGAAAACAGGTACGTAAAGAAGCATATTAATGTAGTAAAATAATAAAATTGAAACTGAAGGAAAGCAGGTATGAGAAGGTACATGATACTATTATAATGCTAATTTTTATTTTGTTTTTAGTTTTGTTATTCATTATCATGAAAAGGAAGGATGTTATAAGAAGGAAAGGGTTTAATAGAAAAGAAAAGGCAAGGATATAGGATAGTAGCGGAAAAAAAAGAGAAAGGAAGTAGAACATGTATGGTTTGAAAAAATTGGTGAAAAAAAGAGGAAGAAAAAGGATAAGAAGAGAGGACAATCAAGAAGGAAAGAATATAATGTTGGAAGATGATAAGAAATTAGAACTGATGGAAAACAAATGTGAGAAGATACACAATAATGTTAATGTTAATAAAATTATGTATAAAGGACTCTTGTTAATGAATAAATTTAAAAATGAATAAACGGCATAAGAGTAAAAAATTAAAACTAATCTTGTATGTCAAATTAAAAAAAAATTTTTATTACGAAGATAAAATAAAAGATTGATGTTCTTAACAAAATAATATGATATTGACATTAAAATTACATGTTTCGGCTTCTATATTGAGCCATCTTCAGATCTTCAACATCAAAAATATAAAAATAAAATAGATACGCAGTGGATGTTCCAGTTAAGAATTCTCCGACAAATAAAACTTCGACAAATCAACTGTTCTAATGTAGTTGGTCGACTGAATGCAATCTTTCATTATCATTGGTTCAAACAGAGAATTCGTATATATAAAACAAAAAAACCAAGTCAATTGGTGTGTATAATATTAAAAATTAATTTATTCTATGTGGAAGAATCAAATATATATAAATCGGTGTGCACGATACGAAAGACATACGTGGACTGATTTTTTTAATTTGACGTACAAGATTAGTTTTAATTTTTTACTCTTATGCCCTTTATTCATTTTTAAATTTATTTATTAATGTTAATATTAATAGTTATATTATATTTTCAGTTATTAGTCATTTTCAGGAAAAAAAGTAATAGTTTAAAAAGATGTAAGAAAATGAGAAAGAGAAATGAAAAGAAATAAGAAGAGAAAGAAAGGATAAATAAGAATAATGATATTGAAAGAAAAAACTGTAGGAAAGCAGATACGAAAAGAAGCATAATGTTAATGGATGAAAATAAAGAATTTGAAACTGAAGGAAAACAGGTATGAGAAGATGCATAATGTTAATGTTAATATTAATAGTTATACTTTATTTTCTGTTATTAGTGATTTTCATAAAAAGAAAAGGATTAAACAGATAGGAAAAGTTAATGAAATAGAAAAGCAATTGTTTAAATAGACGCAAAGAAGTGGATGATGAGAATATAATTGAAAAGAAATGAGAAGAGAAAGGAAGGATATGCAAGGATGATATTTAAAAGAGAAAACTGTAGGGAAATAGGTACGAAAGGAAGTATAATGTTAATGGAGGAAAATAAAGGAATTGAAACTAAAGAAAAACAGGTATGAGAAATTATAATACATAATATTAATACTAATAGCAGTATTTTATTTTTAATCATAAGTGATTTTCATGAAAAGGAAGAATGTTATAACAAGAGAAGGATTGAACAGAAAGGAAGAGGCAAGGAAATAGGAAAGCAATCGTTAAAAAAGGTGTAAAAAGAAGGATGATGAGAAAAAGAAATGAAAAGAGATAAGAAATAACGGAGAGAACAAGTAAGGATGGTGATTGAAAGAAAGAACTGAAGCAATATGGGTATGCAAAGAAGTATAACGTTAATGCAGAGGATATTGGTATTTGCGTGAGTACTTGGAATAGCTGTCTTCTTTCTGTTAATGTTAATAATTATATTTTATTTTCAGTTAATAGTGTTTTTCATGAAAAGGAAAAATGTTATAACAAGAGAAGGATTGAATAGAAAGGAAGAGGTAAGAAATAGAAAAATAATGATTTAAAGAAAAGTAAAAAGAAGGATGACGGGAAAAAGAAATGAAAGGAGATAAGAAGCGAAGGAAAGAATAAGCAAGGATGATGAATAAAAGAAAAATGTGAAGGAAAACGGGTATTAAAGGAAGCATAATGTTAGTGGATCAAAATATTTGTATTTACGTGAGTACCTTGGGATAGCTATTTTCTTTCTATTATTAGTGATTGATTTTTATGAAAAAGGAAGAAATGCCTCATAAGTAAGGAAAGTATTGAATGGAAAGGAAAGGCAAGGAAATAGAATAGCAATAGTTCAAAAAGGTGTAAAGAATAAGCAAGGATGATGGATAAAAGAAAAATGTGAAGGAAAACGGGGTATTAAAGGAAGCATAATGTTAATAGATCAAAATATGTTTTGTAATTATATGAATCTTGCCTAAGTAATGATATTATAATACGAATACGTTTTTATTCATTTATAGAAACTGCATGGAGTATATCTGTATACCTTTCAATCAAAAAATAATATCAGTTTTATTAGTGCGTTTGTGACTATAGTGAATACTGTACAATTCGAAATTTTTAATAGGAAACGAAATTTTTCAATTCAGTTGCATCCGATTGAATCTAATTGAAACTAATTGGAATCCAATTGAATCCAAAAAAAAAGTGTTCGCTGTTTAAAATACATATTCAAATAGACAAATGTCCAATCCATATTAATCCATTCTCGGATGCTGGGGTGCAAACGCAAGAGAATCAGAAAAGAGCACGAAGATGCAAGACCATTTACAAAGCAAGAGGACATGAATGTAAGAGAAGAATAATTTCAGTAATCTATTTCCATTTTGACTATCACAAAAGATATTACTATGTCGTTTACATTCACTTCTTCAGAGAGTAGTGGTGTTCG